TTCCACGCATCTTTTGTATGAGTTGGAAAAGGAGAAAGGTGTTTTCTAAATGGATAGCTTCTCCTGCCAGCAAAGCATAGAGTCAACACATCCACATTTGCAATGTGGTTATTGAGAGCATGAGTCTGCCCAAAGATGCTCTACAATTATCCTGAGCAAGAGTCAGCAAAGAAGCCATGTTCTAGAAGTATGTGCTTTAGCAGGCTAGTGACTGTAGCTATTTAATTCTCAAACCCAAACTTTTTGGTCCTGTCCAACTGTCCATTATTATCAGTAGTACCACACACTCCATTATCCTGGAAAGCAGCAAAAATCATCAAGTTCTCAGACTGCAGGGTTCACAGTAGATCCTCGCAGAAAACAAATTTATTTTTTAATTTATAAGTAGATATATAGCCTTTCATCGAATTAATCAAAGTACCTCTAAAATAGTAAAATGTCTTCAGGATAGGTTTTTACTGCAAGTAACTTACTGGTCAAAAAGCTTGCTACTACAAAATATGCTTTTTAAAATGTTATCACTCCCTCATTAAAACTAATGTAATTGCAGTGTGAAAAGTGTTCCCAATATTAATCATAGGACCTATTATAGGAAATACTCATAATAGCTGTTGAAAAAACATTGTGGAGTTATTGGAAACAAGTGCATAATGTGTTTTCAATAGTCCTTTTTTTCTCATTCCATCACACAACAGAAATTAAGAATGTGTTACAGAATAGTCCTCTAAAATATTAATAGCTTTAATAACTAAAAGATTGATATCTCCCTTGGCCCACATATGGTAAAGTTCATCCTTCTGCCCCTGACTCTGCCTCACCAAGCTCATGGCACCATCCCACCTATGCTGACCCATGAAATGTGAGGGAGCAACCCTAAGGCACTTCCCAGTCAATCATACTGGGAGAAAAGAGAGAGTAGTTTATGCAATGGAGAGAAGATACTGAAGGCAGGTTTAGGAGTAGCTATATGGCCCCTTTTTCCAGCCTTGCAGACTTTATCATTTTTTTCCCACAAACTCTGTTATTTTTTCTCTTTCCCCTCCAGTTCAGAGGGATGACTCCTATCAGCATGATTTCTGTGTGCACCAGGGAGAGGAACATTGGGTTTCAGATTTCTGAGGGCTTCAATAATTGCTGTCAGTGCTATTCATTTAATGGCATAAGGTCTAAGCAGCTTCACAGAGGAATTCTTTAAAGTGGGTTTATCTCTACAGATTCCATCCCAAGAATCTGGGGAAGGGACAACTGAAAAAAAGTTACTGCATTGCATTGTTTATCCAGCAAGTGCCAGAAGGCAAAGGACAGATTTGTCAGCTAGACTCGAAAGGGTTGATCTGCATAAAAGAAACCAAAGCTGCCTTCTTAAACAGAAAAAAATCTAATTTTTCAGGGAAAAAGAAAACATATATTTATCTCAAAACCTATAAATAGATACAAAAATGCTCCCAGCCTTGCTATGCTTCTATGAATTCAATGAATAATAAAAAAACCCCACAACAAACCCCATGAAGATTTAGCTAATAGATCTTCCTTTAAATTTAAAGACATTTTGTTCTGACAAAAAGTTCCTGCTAACAAAGAAAGTAACTCTGAGAAAAAGACAGGAGGAAATGAACTATTGAATCCATGCTGGAAAGCTATTTGTGGAACTCAAAGAGTACAAAGAGAGTTGCATCCTGGAGAAGAGGGTAAGTATTCATATATAAGACTCCTTGACCTTGGTTAAGAACAGAGTTCTGCTTTAAGGTCCGTATCATATACATTTGCAGAGCTGGTTTCTAATAAGGTAAGAAATAAAAAAATGTTTGCCTCAGCCTTAACTACAAAAAGCAAGCCTAAAATTTACTTGCTGCTGTTTGCGAAATCGCCAGGTGATCCCATAAACTGGGCGAGGACAGGGTCCTGCAGGGCACAATGGATGTGCTTTAGAAAGCAAATGAAAAAAAAGCCCCACAAAAGGTCTATGAGACAATAACCAAATGGACAGTTGAAGTTGCCATGGCAGGTAGTACAGCCTGTGATAGTTCTGGAAAATCCCTGAGAGTTTCACGAGCAGAAACTTCGTCCCAGAGCTTTAGACAGATTTTACATCTCCTGCGTTCAGACCACAAGGTCCATGGAAGATAAGGACTTTGATCTTGAGCTTGTCTTCGTGGTCAGAAGTTTTCAGAAAAATTTTGATTTGCTCACACGGTGATGTTGCTGAGGAGGAAGTGGCCTACCAGTCTGTGTTCTGAGCGAAATTGTTTTGAGGACAGATAGCTTCATATCTAGATATCTAGTCCAGACTGGTAGCAATGGCATTTATAACAGTGGGCAGATCTGCCAGGATGAGACAGATTCACCTATCCAATCACAGATGGTGCAAAGTATTACTCACAGATGCTGCTGTACGAGAGCTTGGCTTCAGCAAGGAGTCAGGAGCACTTAAAAAATGGATTTTATTAGCTACGGTGCATTTTTCCCAAGGCTGATTTACTGCATGCTGGAAGAAGGATGAAAAAGAATCTTCATTTGAAAGAAGAATGTTATATTTGATTGTAAGGAGCCTCAGTTGCTCGTGACTTTCTTTTGTCAGACAGAGACATTGTTGGATTCACAAGATCTGAGTCAAGACTCCTTCAGTGCATCTGGTGTTTCCCAAGGAGGGAATGTGCTGAACTTAAGGAATGCTGGTGGGTGGGAGCGAAGACTGGCGAGCGGGAACGCTGGGCTTCCTGAGAGTGGAGGGGTGGAGATCAGCAAGCCTTTTGGAATTGCTGCTAGTGGTAGACCAGGAACATTTCTCAGAGTAAATTTATGTTAGGACAAACTGCTAGTCACTGGCAGAAGCAAAAAATAATTGAATCTCAAAGTCTCATTCTGAAAAGCCAGCATTTTGGTGGAGAGTTCTGCCTCAGAGCTGCATAACTGCAGTGGCTTTGCCAAGGACAGAGCAGGGTTGTGCTGGGGGTGTGAAGCAGCTTCAGGAGCCCTGCCTTCAGCCCGTTCACCCTGCATGCAGCATTGGGAGTGCTGTATTTACAGAGCTCATTACAGCAGCGCAGATCGCTTCCTCAGGTTATCTTACGGGCTTTGTTTTCCTTGCCTTCCTCCTGGCTGTCTGGCAGAGGTAAGGGATGAATAATACTTGCTGCCAGTGACAGCTGCTGTTATGCACCTCTCCCCTTCTGTCCAGAAAAGGGCCATTCATGATGTAACGCAGGAAAAAATGCTCCAAGGAAGAGCTCCACTCTTCGCTGGATTTCTGATTACTGATGTTTTTGGGTGTTGTTTACAAGGAATTTTATGGCTCAGTAGAATGGAAGGAAACATTTCTGGCAGATTTATGTTTCTCAAATGCGTATTTTCACCTCAAGTTATTTGTCTTCATGACCTCGGGGAGGGGGGGGGACATGTGAGGATGGGGAAGGGACAAGGAGGGAAGGACGCATTTCAGAACACTAACTTCCCTGATCCTAAATTGTACCCAAGATAGGTGGGATGAGTAGTGCTTTGAAGGTTTGTGTCTCTGCCCACTGGCTACTGAGAGAGGTTAGATGCATAATAGTTAAATAGCCCATTTCAGTAAAATAAACCTCATCAATTAAAAGGAAATACCAACCAAAATATGCCAAGAAAAAAAGTTACCTAACCACTTAAGAGGGAGAAAAACAAATTTGGCTTGAGCTGTCTAAATTTCATCTAAATCCAAATTCTCTTTGGACTTAATTCCCTGTGGTTTTGTCTCCTATGTCTCCCCTCACACTAGGAGCAGTACTAGGTACCTTTCACCCAAGTCCTGTGTAGAGGCATTCGAAAAGAGGTAAAAAATGCATGAGCTTTTTCTACAGAGGTAACCTCAGTGATTAACAGTCCTTTTTCAGCTTTGACTGTAACTTGGTAAACAAATCAAAGGTTAGGCACAGTTATGTTTTCCCAAAGAAGATGACGGACCAAACTGTGTCTGAGAATCTTTGCTTAATATCTGATTTCCTTTTAGCTTAACAAGCAATCACACTGCAACTGTCTTCCTCCCCCTGCACCTCCCACCAAGACACCTTTTCCTTGCAAAGTTCTCCTTGCCAAACCATCCAGCAGCGAGATGTGCCACCATGAAAGCTGCCCCTTTCCCTTCACACTCCGTCTCCAGGCAGGCCTTGTGCTATCTCTGATGAGGTGGACATACTGCTTTATTACTGCTGCACCAGGCGGAAAGCAGCATTTTCTGGTCCTTTACTTGCAGCATATTTTTCTGTGTTGCTATTTGTATAACAGTAGAAATAATATAGGGATTGCATGCAGCTATACAAGACTGTAACACATGGTTTGGATTGTTCTTTTTATTAACAAATCTCAATTTGGTTTTTTTTAACCTAAAATTTGTGCAAAATTAAAAACATGTTGCATGTGCATAAAAGCCTCTAAGTTTTGCAATACAGAAAAAATATACATCATGCCTTTCTGCTCCATGGGAAACAGAGGCAAATGTTAAACACACGCACACAAAACCCCTCAAAAATGAACTTACCTTTTAATGCCTTGCAAGTGTGTTTTCCACATCCAAGAAGATTATGAAAAAGTGAACACTGTAGATCTTAATGAAAACTAAGTTTCTTCTTAACTCCAACTTCTCTGTAATATGTAATGAAAGTTCTTCCACGTTGGCATACAGGAAGACCGTAGTGGCTCTCTAGAATTTTTTAATTTTCATTTTCTAGGAGTTAACATTAAACCTGGACTTTAACATTAATATTTAAGAGTCCTCCCAGTTTCTTTTTAGAAGTCAGAATGCAGTTTAGCTACTTCTAATAAACATGAAACAAATTAAAATACTTTTGTGTCTTCTTGCTTTCATCTTCTGATATTTCTGAAACTTATCTTTATTCATTGTTTAAAAAACTTTTTATTAGCAACCTGTGTTTTTCTCCCCATATAGGAATACATCTGTACAGGGATCTATCTATGGCTCATGAGAATCTCCTCCCTTTTTGTTTTTCTTTTTTGTTTTGTCTCTCCAGATCATTAAAGACCAGAAGCTACTGGTGATAGTTGGAGGGATGCTACTGATTGATCTGTGCATCTTGATTTGCTGGCAGGTTGTGGATCCTTTGAGAAGGACAGTGGAAAAGTATAACATGGAGGTATGTCCTTAAGCCCAAGTAATACTTTTGGTTGCATATCAGTATCTACAGTTTTCTGTAAGACCAAGCTGAAGATGCACTAGATTATATGAAAGCAGGACAAGCTCTGTGTTTGGAGGGAAGAAGGGTTCTGTTTTTTAAAAGCAAATAGAAATTGGATAACTGCAACCAAAAGAAATTGCATCTGTAGTTGAAGGTGCCACATTTTCACATCTCTTGTGAGAGATTTTAGAAGGAAGTGTTGTAAACACAGGAGAGTCCTCTGCTAAGATTCTCTATCAGAGTCTGTTGCAATAAATAATAGATTATCAGAACCTATTAGCAGATTTCAGTAAGAGCTTATTCAAGATAAGTGCAGGAGAGGTCACTTCTTAGACTGCATTCTTTGTGGAGATGTTCAGGAATTAAGTTACATACTGCTATATTTGTTTTCAGTAATAGTGTGCTCATGCACGCATACTGATTGTTCCTATTTTAATGTCATTCCCAGAAAGGTCGTGCTAGGTGTTTTGATAGGGAGGAGGTAATAGCTTAATGCCCCTTGTACAAATTTTACAGCATTCTGGTAGATTTCTAGAAGTAGAGCTTTCTGGACAAACTGACAGCAAGAAACATGGCAGCAACAATGCAGAACTAGGAAAGAAAATTGTATCTGTATGCAGATTAGTAGTGTTTGAGAGTTTATTACCTCCAACATAGAAACTAGTGGTATCTGAAAACTAGATCGTATGAGGACAATCTAGAAGTGTTACTCTATTCTCCAATACTTGACAATCAGTAAGAAAAAGAATGGTTGTTTTCTGAAGTTAACTTTTGCAAGAAAGTTATGATATTTTATTCCATTGTTTTTACTTCATTCTTACTTTGCGGTATAGCTCTGAAATTTAATTAGGAGAAGATTTTACTGTTTATTTGAATACAATTTGTAGAAGACATCTTAGAACGATGGCTCCTCAACTGCAAGGGATGCCTTTCAAGAAATCGTTTTGGAGTCTGAAAAGATTCCTCTCAGTCGTTCCCTAGAGTTTGAACGGTTTTTGGAAAAGAGTCCCCAGTTATTACAGTTGTCAATAAAAGATGGAAAACGTAACTGAAATTTGTCTTGTGGAGACACTTCTGCTCTATGTGTGTAGAACCTGAAACAACAGCAGCTTGTTGGTAGCCTTGTTTACTTCATTTTGTTCCAACTGCATTGCAACTGATATTTCAATTATCAGTATTATTAACTGTTTCACTGCTCATATAAAACCAAACATAATATGATGAGTAGTCACATAAATCCAATTGAAATAATGCTCATTTCAGTGCTGCGGGTGAATGAGCTCAAAGGACTTCTACTTTTTTCCCTGATCAGGGGGAGGCCATAATTAAAGATCCTCGTATCAGGTCTTAGCAGAATCACTCAAGTGAAAATTTCTGTAGGCAGCAGCAGTAACATGAAGTTATCAAACAATGAATACCAGATATTTGAAAAATAATGTTTATTGCAGTTTTAAATGATTGCAGTTTCCATCCGAACTTATCAGTGTATATTCTTTGGTCATGTAATATATACCACTAAGAACTTAGTGTGCTTGTTCCATGTTTGGTGCTAACTAGACCGTGGGGTTGGTTGCACACCAGTTACCTGAACTTTGTATCAGAACTGGAATTCTCTGAGAATTATGTAAGCCCATACAAACTCACATTCACTGAATGCACGCACAAGAATATGTACTATCTTGAACACGCAGCATAGAATTGCCTTAAACTTGCTGTTAGAGCTCTTTGCTATTACTGTAAGTTGTGCAGAGTGCTTTTATAAGCTAATGGATTTGGGAAGGGAAGGAAATGAAAGAATTATGCTAGCAAATTTGGTCATTAAAATACTGTACATATGTTTTTATCTTATATAAGCAGTAAGGTGGACTGCAATTTGCTTTCCTGAAGCAGACCTCTTCGGGTCTCAGAAACTCCTTTGTAAAAGCAAATGACAATTGTATTAGCTTTTTTAAAAATTATTTTAGTTTGATTTTTTAATTTTAGATTTTTTAAATGCATTCTGGAATGGTGAATTCTTTAGTTGAGTTTGCCTGAGCAGGTATTATCTTTCATGTGTTTGGAAAGTATTTGTCACATAGTAAACACTACTGGACACAAGTTTCTGTTTTATTTCAGGAATATTTTGTCATGTATATTCCTTGTCTCGCTTCTATGAAATAATTTTAAAGGGATATTTTGTCTCAGTTTAGGTTGTTCCAAATGATAGAAATGTAGGCTCCAAAGTTAGGAACACAATCAGCCATTCTAGCTAGTGAACCATTTGAGTGCTGTTTTAACTATGAATACTCATTGGCTTCCTGTGTGAAAGTTCTGTATTTGGCCACTGTCAGGTGGTCTACTGTTAACCGTGTCTTATCAAACAAATCAATCAAAGTAACCAAGACAACGAGCCTAAAAACTGATAGTATTCTTTGCTGTTTGATGTTCTTAACAAAATAGTTCATCTGAATAACAACACCACCAAATTATCAAGCATTTTTAAAAAATCCAGACACTTCTTCTGTTGTTTGTAAAGTCAAGCTATCCATGCCTTAAAAGCTGAGGATGGACAGTCTTAAGTCTGAAAATACAAGGGGAAGTGAAGCTGCTTGTAGTGACTCTCCACCCCTGACAAAAGGAAGAAATCAGATGGGATGCTGGGTCTGTCAGTTTTCAGACTGGTCTCTAGCATCCTGATCCTAGATGTCACATTTCCTTATGAAAAACACATCTATGGCTGCCATAAGACATCATGGTAAAAGTTTTAATGACTGAGCCGTGAAACATCCAGATGGTCCAGCCATCAGTAGTTGTTTGGTATATGATATATAGACAACAAAATTGTTGGATAAAAGCAAATAGGTTGTGGACAAAGACAGGGACCACTTAAAAATTTCTATAGATCTAAACTGATCTCCAACAGAGGAACTATAAGGTTCCTCCTGCATACACTTCATACAGAGTACTGTAGGCATGATTCTCACCTAACACAAAAACATTTTCTGACACAAAATGCTTATCAACTTCAAGCAGCAGTGTAAAAAAGGGAAAATTATCCATAACATTACCTCTGTTCATCTGTTTTGCTTGTTGCATTGGCTGCAATATTTCTCCTTTTGCTAATGTTTCAGACCAGTGAAAAGACCATTCACATTTTTTCTCACTAGTTTTTTTCTAGACTGAACTTGGAATTTGCTTTTTTCAGTGTAATTCACCTTGTTTGTCACAATCAGAATGCTCTGCAGGTATGATATGATCTGATCTTAGCTAGGTTCCTGCTAGACTAAGTTTCTCCCAGTCATGTGAACTGGAATGCATCCGCCCTCGCCGTCCCGCCAGCCGAGTTCTCAGGCTTGACAGGCCAGCTTGTGACTGTGGAAGAGCTTTGCCATGGTCGCAAGGCTCTACTGCCTTTTTCCAACCGTCTGGATTCTGGCCTGGTTTCTTAAGAAGGCAATGTTTATGGGCAAGGGTGCCCTGTGTTTTTTTTCCTACTGCCTAACAAACTTTGTTTACCAGTTTCAAACCTGACAGAGCAGATGCAGCTCTTAAGGACATAGCACTGCTGCAGACATGGTGGTAACAGCCAGCTGTGTGGAGGAGACGTTCCGATAGTTCCCCTCTCCCTAAGAAGAGGGTCACAGAGTAAATTTATCCCTCTGTCTAAACATTACAAATGACCTGCTACAAGGGAGCTTCACACTTAATTAGACACAAAGAACCCAGCCACAAGACAAAAATACATAGGAGACGGGCTTGCTCTAATTTCAGTTGCTCACTGATACACCTGCTTTGGAATGAAACCACGATCTGAATCAGCAAAATCCTTTTACAAGATGGAATCTGTTCTCCATGTGCAATAGCAGTATCATAATTCAAAGACGTACCTACTACAGTTCAGTAAGTCTGTGTATAGGCATATGTTCAGACTCACCTCCCCCTTGTAATACAATGATGTAGTAATTCTTTTAGCTTGAAATCCTCTGATTGGCTTGTCTTCTCCCAACACAAATATCTGTGACACAGAATCACTGTGGCCTTGGAAGGTAACCAATAATAATGTTTAATAAACAAGAATTTGTTTACTATGGGAAATGGACTAGATTTTATAATTCCCAAGGTATGATAGACTCAAGAAAAGTAATTCATTGCATAATGAATGCCAATATTTCTTGTAAAATTTTAAAACCTGTTTATCCAGGGCAGCAATCTTTGTGTTCCTTGATGTCTTAGTACCAGTTATGTAGTTATCTGTGTGATGTTTCCTCTTATCCAACCATATGATAACATTAGCAATATTTAAAAACAGACTTCATTCTGGTATCTGAAATACCAGTGTTTAAGGTTTCACACTGAATTGTCCTGGGATGGTAATAAATACGAAATGGAGAAAAAAAACAGAATAAAGTGCAATTTTAGAAGGTACAGGAAAGAAAACCAGACCAGTGAGACAACATCCTATTTGGGCTTATAGCACTGATATAGAAATAAAATGTGGAAACTAAGAACTTCCAAATTTATATGAGGACGTTGCTGTAACAAAAATACTAATATGCAGGAAAGATTGATTAGGCCATGCCAGTGGCACAGTAGTACAGTCTGTTAAAGAAAAGTCAGAGTAAAAGCAAATTAACAAATTGATCATTTCAGTGAGTGGGGCAGAATTCCTGTGCTTTCCAAGTGTATAACTATGCTATTGGACACATATCACTAACCAACAAGCCAGAAGGTCAGCTTTGACTGATATGTTGAAGGAGTCATAAACACTGCAAGAGATAAAAATGACGGTGTAAACTGGACAAATGTACTGCTCAGACTAACTCGTTTAGGAGCAGTGACTGCTTTGTAATTCAACAGATAAGAGAACCCACAAAGAGAGAATTAACCCTTGGTTTCATTCTGACTAGCATACAGAATCTGTTCCAAAGTGTTGGTATCTGGAGGACTTTTATGTAGCTGCAAATACATCGTTCTTAGAT